ACTACTCATTAGTTCTTGATTACCTCCTCAGTTACTACTGTATTTTTGTGTACCTTATTGTAAAGTGTTCCTGAAAGTTGAGCTGGAAAAGGATTTACTCGTCACATAAAAGATGACAGTTTCTCAAAGTGACTCAATCTGGCTTCTTCACAGCTCTTGACACCATGGTAGAGCACATGCAACAAAAAATCATTGAATCATTTGTTGTTCATTGAGGGTGTATCATCTCTTTCAAAAATAGATGTTCGTTAATCAAGCATTGATAGCCTGACAGACAAGCGAAGAAAAGACTAGGTTTCTTGGGGGGGGCACTGAGTCCATGTCAGGGTTTTCTCATGCTGTCTGAAGTTGGAAGACCTCAGTCTGAATCCAGAGCTTCTCACTTCAGTTACCAGTCAGATATCTCATGCTGCAGTGGTTTAAAATGTTTATTTCAGGAGCAGAGCATTGTTTTTGTTCAGGCTCCAACCCTGTCACCCCTTACTGATCTATTTACACATAAGAAACCGGGGTTGATGAGATGATACCCCCCACTGGAGCCTGCAGGTGGATGCTGGGAGGGTGATGGGGGTCAAGGTGTGAGAGTAGAAGTAGTGCAGGGAAGCAGTGTCAATAACAAAACAGAGGGAAAGACAGGAAATCTTGCAGCTTGAATCGACCACCAGAATAGGAGGATGGAGTGTGTTTGTCATGTGATGTGAGAATGATGCACGTTGGGTGTGAAATCAGTGCAGCTCAGTTTGCCATCCTGAAGCTCACAGGTGCTGTCCACTTATGCTTAGGCTCCAGCTCTCCCTCTTATTATCCCTTATTGTATTTATAATTGATGTGATGTAGGAGTGCAGGCAAGAATACACTGCTGTGCATTCTGCTATATTATGTCAAAAATATCTTATACATTTTTTAACTTGCATATCAAAGATTCCAGATTTGCTCCCGAAGAAAAAGAACAATATTTGGAATAAAGTTTCCGTATGCGTCATTTGATATGTTGGTTTGGAATGAAAGTAATGTTCAGCAACATACTTAGATATTTTTCTCTGGGTGGACAGTGAGCTTTCATAGGCTGTAATTAAGTTTGTGTGCAATAAACAAAGACAATATTTAAACCAGTAGCGTTCAGAATTGGCCATGGGTGTCCAGATGGTGAATCATCCTTCTTCTCTGCTATAACCATCATTAGCACCACTAAACGAGCTACGTTTACTTCACATTCAACAATAAAGATGAGTAACATACAGGCACGGCAACACCCACTTGGACAGAACACATGCAGAACTACAAGAACAGTCTACTGTCTTCTGGACTTTAGGAAAGCAAATAAAACTCAACAGCTGGCTAAAGAGCAACTAGAACAGTCGCAGAAGTGTCATATTTGTCTTTAGAATCAATACTAGATAAAGTACAGATGCAAAAAATGTACCAAAGATCAGCTCTGTCATGAAGTTTGTCTCTCAAACTAAGGTCTTAAACTATAATTAAAGACTTTGTAAATGCTGCCTGTTGAACAGTCATAGCAGTAGGTATCTGTGGGGACAATAAAACATTGAAACAATACACTAACTCATTTTCACAGGATCCCATTATAATCTTTCTACTTCTTGATATAGCAGAAATATCCCTTTTCTGCTTCAGCAACCCAATCATATATGACTGGCTTTTGTGTTACAGCCGATATTCAAATGTCTGGTGCGGTCGCCCTGATTTGACTTTCAATCTCATCCTGAAAAGCACATTGGGATGTCTGTTCATGAAAGGAGCGATAGATCTGCTTATTTTACTTACATGAGCTGCACTTTTTGGTTTCAAGCAAGTCTGTCTTAAAAATCTGTTACAAAATGCTTCTCACATGAAGGAGTCGTCAGCCATGCGGGGCCAGGCCACATAGCAGAGGGTCCTGCGGGGGAGAGTTCGGATAGTTGAGAAGTAGCAGAGAGGGAAGGCCAGGACCACGGCTAGACTCCAGATACACATGATGACACCTGTAGTGGCCTTCGCTGACAGGCGGGGCTTCAAGGGGTAGATGATGGCCATGTACCTGCAGGATAGAGTGAAATCAAAAGTAGCTCAGTGAGAGAAGAAATACAACAACATGGAGAAACTACAAACCAGAGAAACAAACTAACTGTTTAGATAAAACTTCAAAGGTCTGTTTTATGTGAGAATATCTGGAGCGAGAGTAAAGGTGAGCTCACTCATCAACTTTTCTCCCTGTAGTTATATTGAACTTAAAGGTGGGGTAGGCAGGATTCTGTTAAAGAATCGTCTTTTTTGTGGTGTATATACGAAAAAAGCTTTTAATATCAGTCTCTAGCTATTAGTTATTGATGACATTTGGGAATATAACAATATTGCTGTGTTTTGTTATGTCTGTGTGGTCAACATTTTAAACTCTTTCTTTGAGTGGCCCGCTCTTTCTGACTGTAAACAAAGCCATTCTCCACCTCCCCCAACCTGATTGGTTGTGAGGGAGACACTACTCGCCCCTGTCGTTCATGAGCCCAAACAAAGTTAGCGTGCTACGATATCGGACAGTAGAAACCAACCAGAAAGTATGGAAAATTGTTTGACTCCTCCTTTGGCCTACACAAGAGAGAAAAGGAAGTAAATACTGGCGACTCCGGCGGAATGACGGCTTTTTAAAAAGGAGGTAAACTGGACAAGAGCTAAAAGCCGGGTCATCATCAGCATAAACAATAGGGGACGCTTCCGGATCTTACAGACCCTGTAACCTTTCTGCTGGACAGATAGACCACTTTAACAAAGTAAAACAGGTGTCTGTAGCGGAAGTGTTTCTTGTCAAACGGGACCTGCTGCGTGTTGTAGTGCCGCTGCACTGTTTACCTCGGATCCTGGAGTATGTCACTTTACGCTAGTTTTAGAAGTCCTGCAAACATTGTGTTTGCTGGTAGTCTGTTGGCATCTACAGTAGCACCAACGCTTTTTACTTTCACGTTGACTGGGCCCCATTTGTAATTATCTGAAGTATTAATCATCATTATATCTGAATTTAATTGAAACGACACAAGCGTCTGTTTGTGGGCGGGGCTTGCTGGAGCAGAGAGGGAGGGGAGGAGCTGAGGGGAAAACTGGTTGGGAGGGGTAGAGTTTACATTCAAGATTTCTCCCCAAAACTTCTTCAGATCCTGCCTATCCCACCTTTAATTCTCCGCACACCATCCTGTAGAGGTCTGTTTGTACTGCAGTGATAAATGTTTGGGGGAAATTATGGATGATTCACTTCGAAATGAAAGCTGTGATGAGGTTTAGTTCAAACTGTTCACAGAAGCTCTCAGAGTGACAGGAGATTAACTCAGTGAGCATGAGCTCAGGATGATACATGATTTTCAATAGTTTGAAACAAAAGGCTTCAATCTTAATGAGGTAGTGAGTGATCAGCCCGTCCTGCCACCTCAGTTCTGACTCTCTCTGAAAACAGCAACAACAAAAATACTCCCTCTGTTCAGCAGTAGCTGTTTGGCATTTAATCCGACTGCCTCCAGGCCTTTTAAATGAACAGCTTATTGGATGTCCAATCAGGTTTGTGCCACAGCAGTGTGGAGTTATTTTGGATCCCATGACCTCATTCAAGGGTGACTGATCTAACAGACTCCTATCCACTGAACAACGGGCATGATGCAACGCCAGCCACACTTGAATAATACTAACAGGATTACATATCAAAGAACATCTACAGAAGCGTCAGCTGGACATTTTCGCAGCAGAGAAATAAATAAATCATTTTGTGTTTTTTGTTCAACCTTGGACCCTGTGATGCTTAGAGCTGCACAATGATTCTTTGACAGCATATTGTATGAAACCACATCAAAAAAATATGCTGTCAGCACCAACTTAACCGCTACTTTATCACAGTGTGGTGTTTAACAAGCAGAGATGACCTCAGATCAGACTCCCCACAGTAAAAGTCAAACATCATGCAAAGAGCTGAACATGAAGCAATGCCTTGATGTCTCTGCAGCAGAGCGGGGTGTTCAGTGTTCCTCTTAACCCTGTCATCATGAAGTAAAAGGATCAGCTCAGGGATCAGCCATGCAGATATCTGCTTAAGTTTGTCTAGACTGTAAGGTATCCACTTCTGATATTTCTTATTAAGCTTTAGATGTTAAGCACCGAAATATCTTTTCAGGAACAAAGTCTAAAATCCAGCACAGCAGTTCTGCACCACAGGTTTATCAACTCTCCAAAGAAAACAGCTCACAGCAAACTACATGAATTATCAGGAGTATCTGTAGAGTACTCTTCTAGTCATCCAAGCAGTCCAAGTGCTTTTGCATGAAATACCACATTTACCCTTTTACACGTATTCAAACACTGATAGCAGAGGATGCTAGGTGAGGAACTTACTGCTCATCACTACTTATCATTCATACACATTAATATCCTGCAGGCCGAGACCTTGGGGGCAAGTTGGGTGCACTTTGGCACGTGGATAAAGCAGCCAATCTTCTGACTGAGATACAGCCTGCTCTACCATGAGCCCCGGCCGTCCAGTATCACTGATATGTAGGGCTGGGCGATATGAGAAAAAGTTTATCACGATATATTTTAGGGATGGACCGAATGGGAAAATCTTGGCCGAAACCGAATACCGAATATAAGAAACACTTGGCCGAATAACCGAATACCGAATAGCCGAATATGATTAATAAATATGTATATAAACTATGAATTTTTATCACCAAGCAACTTTTGTACAATTGCTGTCATTGCCGTACATTTGTTTTAAAGCTACCTGATTATGGCAAAACCTGGCAAACTTAAATATTAATCACTTTATGTTTGAACCATGAAACATGTATTCAGCTGACATGACATAACAATGCTATAACAATAACATTCAATAAAATAAAATTAAGTAAATAACATCTTTGCAATAACAATACAAAAAAGTGCAATTTTCCCTGTAGGATAGCCTAAAGTAAATAAAATAAAATGCACATATGCAAAATAAATAAAATAAATGCAGGTACGTGCATGCATATACATGATTGTGCAACAGTAAACACAAATCCAGGCCTGAGGACTTCAACAATAAATGCACTTACATGCATGCATATACGATTGTGCAAACTTTTGTGCAGTGAGTTTCTTAAAGTCGTCATGTTTGTCCTTATGTTTAGCGCTCAAGTGGTTGATTAGCCCCGATGTACTGAAAGTTTTTGCCGTCACACCACCTCGAGACACTTCAGCAGAGCAGAGTTTACAAATTGCCATCAGACCATCTTTCTCTGATATGTTGAAATATTTCCAAACCGCAGACATGCCGGTTGAACGGCTTCGAGCCAAGACAGCTGCACGTATCGTGTGCGTCGTATCAGCATGCCGGTGTTGTGCCGTAGAATGCACCCCCGACGGGAGCGCCTTGTCGCGTTCCGATTACGTCATCAACATGCTACTAAAACAGGTAAAACAGCGCCGTCTGCGTTTTCCGTTTTTGAGAGTTCATACTAGACCAATGTTTATCCACACTATTCGGTGATTTTTTTCGGCCATAACATCTATTCGGCCGAAAACCGAAAATTCATTTTTGATGCTTTTCGGCCGAATATTTTCGGCGCCGAATATTCGGACCCATCCCTAATATATTTTTTTCATATCAGTCTATATTGATATATATCACAATATAAAAAATGAAATTTAACAGTGCTAATTGGTAGCGTGTCTTTTGAAATACAATAAGCTACTGCATCTGTGAGGTCTTTGTGTCTCTTTGACGTTTTGTCGTAAGGCGTTGCGCTAGAGAAAGCCGACTGAATGGTCGGCTGTTTCAGCTGCACAGGCGCCATGGGCTCCTTCCTCCACTCGGGGTTTGTAACCTTTCGCATTGTGCATGCTCTGCTGCGTGGCCCTGCTTCAGGTGGTGAAAAAGATTTGAGATATTCCCAGACTTTATGAGAACATGTACTCGACATGATTTGCAGTGCACATTACTCTGCTTCATGTCCGACCTCAAAAAAACAAAATACCTCCACACCAACGTTTAATGCCAGTGTTGTTGACATTGTCATCATCTGTTTAGCACTCATTTTCTATTTTTCTCACAGACAGTGCTGTCGGCTTCACATGTTTAAGTGCTATGGTTGTGTGTAGCTATAGCCTGCTACTACGCAGTTGTTTGTTACTTGGTTCTTATTCAGTACATGATTGGTTCAGCGCGAAGCGGACCTGAGGCAACTCCCAGCAACACTTTTCATTGGCAGAATGCCAGCTATCGAAAAGCATATTAACCATGTTTCAAATTGATATTGAGGGAAATTAATTGTCCATATATATTGTTATCGTTTTATCGCCCAGCTCTACTAATATGTTCCCAGATTTTCAAGACTTAATAATAGGGCTTCTTAAAAAAAATAAAATAAAAGGGCTCAAGGGGGTTTTTGTAATACTCCAGTTCGCCCATCAAATGGCATTAAGGTCTATATGTATTTATTACTTTAGAGGAGGAAATAATAATACCACGATTTTCACATCCACATCTTCAACACTAAAATATAACAGATGTGAGGAAGGAAAAAACATTCGCTTTGTTATGATATGAAACGTTTAAAGCTTGGCCAATTACCTTTCACACAGTAACCTGCGTTTATTTTGCCGCAGCGCCTGAGGAAACACGGCTGGCAGCACACAGAGCAAGCAGGAAGGAAAAATCCACAGATGATCACGAACTGTGGCCTTGTGCCATTTCAAGACATCAGAGCGGAGACAGCAGCATACTGGGGTTAGGAAAAGCAGGACCTAAGGTTACATCTACGTCACCGAGGTCAAGCCTGTGGTCTTTCTTTCAAAGTACCCAGCTGACAGAATCAAACGGAAGTTGCAGACCAAATATATAAATGACAAGAAGTCGCTGTGTAAGGGAATTAAACAAAGAGAAATGAGGGCCTCAGGAAGTGCAGTGTCCTCTGTGTGTCAAGAACTGGAGCGGGAAAACACCTCGTCCACTACCACAACGCTCTGTGACACCTACATGATAGCTGCTCCTGCATGCGGCTTTAACAGACTCTATGTTTTCATTATGTTTGGCCTGTGACTGCCTCCCTCATCAGTCTAATCCCTTTATTCCAACATTACGACGTTAGACGGTCCACTGATCGGTATCAAAGCCCGGCTGATAGTGAGGAGTGCATCATCACATTACTGGAAAACCACAGGAGTGAGCGGAGGGGAAAGAGGTAGAAGAAGGAGGGGGAAAACAAACAGGTGCAAAGGGAGGGCAAAAGAAATAAATAACGAGATCACATGTGGCAGAAAACAAGAGTCAGACAGCGTTACGGCATTGAGAAAAAAGGAGCGGGAGGAGGACCAGAGGGAGGGGGATGGGGGTCTTTCTGGGGAGTTGGCACACAAATAATCAGTCAATGCAGAGAGGACTCCACACAAAGCTGCTGCATCTATTTCTGTGTCCTTGGCCATGAAAAAATAAAAAAGGATGTGTGTTAGAGGCATGTGGAGTGTGAGATGGCAGCCACCCTGCCGGGAAGCTGCCTTTCCTGTAAAATAATGCATATCACAAACAAGTAATTACATTCTCCTCCAGTGGGAGCTGAAATTAATTCATACTTGAGTCCGGGGGGAGCATCGTAAGCCTGATGAGATGATGTGGGGGTCAAAGCTCACAGTGCACGCCATCAGTTGAATGTACATTAGACTGATATCGAACACATCAGACTGAATATGAGCTGGTTTAGTTCAACACAAGAGTGGAAGTTTCCAAAGCAATCTTCAAGCGTGGAGTTTTCAGCTTTGAAAAAATATGAAGCCACTTGAAGTGATATGAGAGGATCTGAAAATACAGCATCATAATAGCAGTGGTCTTTTAACATCATAGCAAGGGAGGGTAGACGATGAAAACGAGCTAGCTGAAGCAGCCCACCAAGAGGTGATTAGCTGCTGATGTTCACGGTTTTTGTGAACTGTAATAAAAAAGTTAAAACTCCTGCCTCTCTAGGTTACTGATCACTGAACATTTATACTTTCTGATTGTTCTTTTCACTGTTTTCATTCAATTCGGTAACTTCCAGTCTTCAGGATGTAGGAAACTTCAAAATGAAAGAAAAGTTTGACATTTCAGGAAATACAACAACATAAAAGCGAGACAAAAAATGTCCAACATTTGAAGATTATTGGAGATGTGTGATGGCATGTGAGTTTACTGCGATTATTCATGATGTCTTTCCTCAATTTAACTGGTTTTGTCATTTCATTGTCACAACAATATCGTCTTTGTGATATTTCATGGCCACAATGGTTTGAAATGATGGATGGAAATATCAGTGTTTTAGCCAGTTATTCAATTTATTCTCCAAGGCGATAGTAATTTCTCTTTCTTTCTTCAGACACTAACTTGTCCTTTTAATAAAACAAGAATACAAGCAGTATTTGCACAAACACACATATTATCTTGGCTCTATCATGACTTCTTTGAGGGTGGTCGAGGATTAGAAAGGATTTTAACATTCCTTGAATATTGTTGTTGCATTATCTAATGAGCCCACCTGTCCACAGCTATCGCAGTCATGGAGTAGATGCTGGCAAACACCGAAGTCACCGGGAAGAAGTTGTGGAATTTGCAGTACGCCTCCCCAAAGTACCAATCCCCGTGGGTCGCGTAGATAAAGTTTATCAAAGTGTTAAACGCGGCCATGGACGCGTCCGAAAACGCCAAGTTTAGAAGAAAGAAGTTGGTCACAGTCCTCATGCGCTTGTGGGCGAGAATGATCCATATCACGATGAGGTTTCCAAACACCGCAACCGCGAGAACCACACTGTAAGCCACGGACCACAGAGCCACGCGCCACGGCGGCTGCACAAACTGGTTAGTGTAGTTTGCAGTTATGTTGGATCCGTTATGTGGAGGTGCCATCCTCTTCTCTCTTAATCTCCAAAACAAACCGAGAGCTTTTGTTTCTCAGCGAGTGTGATCTACGAACTGAGGAGCAGAGCTGGAATCTAAGAGTGGCGTGCGTTTATGCACCATAACGCGCCACTTGAAATCATCACCGTCCCTGAAGATGACGCATTTCCTTTCGAATCTCTGCAGTCTTCTTCTCTAACTAGTCAACATTTGTCAGTTAAAAAAAACAAGGAGGAAAAACACGCTGAAACCGTACATGTGAAGTGCGTCCTCAGTGCCTGTTGAATGAGGGTGTGAGCGTTCAGCTTCTCTCCAGCGGGGCTCTGTGCGCACTCAGTGACGCGCAAGTGGCACAAATGATGGTGAAAAAAAGATTGATGGATCGTTGTGGCGGCTGTTTTACACTGCATGGATGATAAATGGGGCAGGCAGTGTCTCTCCTCCCTATATAGTCAGTCAGCATTTTGTTTCTTTATCTTCAGATGATCTATCAGCAGCAGTAGATGAGTCACAAACAGGATATTGAAATGTTGCAGGCAGAGGTTGCAAGATATCTCTCTTTCAGATGTTGAGTCAAGAGCTCGCACAGTTCAGTGTCCATCTCCTTTTGTTCAGCTTTCTTTTTTAAGGTGGCCATTGCCTTAACACTTTTCTCTTATTGTGGCCATAAATCACCCTCACACTGCAGTGGGGAGAGAAAGGAAATGTGCAATGCATTGTGCTGTGACTCTCCCCTTCGCTGTCACATCAGGATTCACAACTATCAGACTGAAGCACCCTGCAGACATCCAGCTGTTCACAACGGATAAAACTCCTTCATCGGCCTGCAGAGCCTTCAGTGTTAGCCTCGACTCCAGCACACTTAGATGTCTCCAACGGCTAATTAAATACAACCAGTCAAGTAAAGCTATCCAGCAGACGTATATTTTCCTTCTCAGAGGCATTAGTTCTTCATAAGACACTGTGATATGACTGAGGTGTTTAGGAGGGCTCATGTTCTTCTGTGAAATACCATCAAAACTTGTAATATTTTTTTAGCAGTGCTTACATATTAAAAAGACTTGAACTGAATACTGAATAAGCATGCTGTGATACTGCATATGTAATACTGCATTCGAATTGAAGTGGGCAGTCACGAGACATTTTCACTGTGCCGCACACTGCAGACGAGAACAACTGTCTGTTTGGATCCTAACTGTGGTCTCATGCATTTGTATTCAAGTAGCACAACAGCAAGAACACCACTGTTCCTCTGCGCACACCCGCTTTAATCACCTAAAGAGAAATATGGAATACAGTCTGCAAAAAAACTTAAACATTTGAGTCTGTGATACATTATAAAGAAAAAAATTAACTGATCCTCTCAGTATTATAGTAATGTTTTGTCAACGTGACACTCTAATGTACCTTGCAGTGCAGGTATATTTATAATGAGTTGGCAATGTGCTGCGGCAACAAAATTTAAATTACCCGCAATTAAGAAAGCAGCGACTCATTACAGGATGCTGTTAAAATACTCAATGATGATTTCAAGTAATGCAAGGAAAGTAAATCTAAAGGGGTTTTGAAATCCTGTCCTCTTCTGTTTGAAATTCATGGGATGCCAATGTCTTTTCCTTAAGGATATGTAAATACAGCCATACATATCATAGAGTAGACTTGGTTGAATAACAGAGAGTGTTTGCAGCAATACAAATAAAGTTTACACGTTTTCTATCATATTAAATCATGTTTAATGTACGGCATTTGAATGTGATATTAAGGAGAAGTCAGTGTGAGGATTTTAAATCAGATTCAGACTGAAGTCTGCAGTGGTAATTGTCTTGGGTGGTCTTCCTTTTTCCCTGCGTAGGGCAAGTCCAAAGGATAAAAGTGACAAGAAAAGGAAACTCAAGCACAGCAGGAAGAAGCAACGGCAGAAAGAATACTGTTTATATGAAAAAGGCACTTATGAAATGCACGTATCTCAAATCTGTGGCCTTCCTCTTGAGTTTTGATCACTATCTATAATCCTGAGGGGAGCTCCAGCGGCCTGTAAAACAATCTGGCCTTAAATGAAGAGCAATTGAAGCTTATCACACTGTTCTTACTAAAATGGTGCGTGCAGAAACACATGCAGGAAAAAACTGTTTACAGTTTGCGCATCCTTTATGATTGACCTAGTTTTTAGGAATGAGAGGTGGGAAAGGAAGGGTACTAAATTCTCCTCGACTTAAAACTTCAATTCATGTAAATGCCTTTTCATGAAGCAAACAAAACCATCAGCAACAAGACTGAAAACTTTTATAATGTAATTTTCAGTGCCTGAATCAAGTGCGGTCTCAGCCAAGCAGATGTAGAAACAACACTCTCTTTACAGTTTCCATAGAAATACTCACAATATATAAAAAGTTCGAATTTTAAAAGTCAGCATGATGAGATTTTTGGACATAAGGCACCACTTATGCACATAGAAGACAAGTTAAGCAAAGACTGCTTTGTCCACAGGGGGGCGCCAAAGTTGAGGAGCTTTAGAGGCGCTTAAAAGGATATTTGTAAAATTAAGTAATGGTCAAACACACTGTAACACCGAATCAGACACCATGTCGAGAGATGAATGTTGCCAACCATTTGCTTCTCTAGTTATACCAACTTTAGTAATGACCGCAGATAGCGATAAAGAGAGCCACGCCCACAACCAAAACGCCACTCTGTTGCCACAAATAATGCTCAGAACAGCACCTAACTTCATCATCAGTACATATAGGGTCCAAGCCATAGTACTTGCCATCAAACATCTTTTTAGCTTTGCCTGATTTGTTTAGCAAAGAGACTAAACACAACTCACCCACTGTCTTCCAGCAGCCGTTTGTTTTTATGGAGACCTCCGGGCGAGTCCATCAACTGCTGTGGGGTGACGCAGCTCAAGGAAGAACATTTATGATCATTTCTTTATCATTTCCTTGAAGTAATAATCACCATATTAATCATTTTGCACTGCAGACAAAGTAGTTCTTCTGCCTTAGTGTCTTGGTCTGATTGCATTGCCATGAAGAAATGATCATCAGAACTGGTCTGAGGTCTCGCTACAAACAAGTGGCTGCTGGAAGAGAGTAGGTGAGTTGTGTTTAGTCTCACTGCTAAAAATAATCAGACAAAGTTAAAAAGATGTTTGGTGGCTAGCGCTGTGGCTTGGACCCTATATGTACTGTTGACGAAGTTAGGTGCTGTTCTGAGTATTATTTGTGGCTATAGAGTGGTGTTTTGGTTGAGCGCGTGGCTCTCTGTATTGCTATTTGTGGTCGTTACTAAAATTGGTATAACTAGAGAAGCAAATGGTCTGCAACATTCATTTCCCAACAGAGTGTCTGACTCGGTGTTATGGTGTGTTTGACCCTAACTTAATTTTACGCTGGAATATTCCTTTAATGCTGCACACTGCTTCTGACCTGGGAATGGGGAGCTAGAACAAAACCACCAAATCAGTTCTGTAAAAACATAATCTTCCTGTGTTTATTGTCAAAGTTTAAATATCAAGAGACTTTTAATGTGTGAGCTGATTTGTCAACATGTATCCATGGTGAACTTGTTTTATATTTTTGCTGCATCTTTTGGAATGATATTTTGCAGACAGTTAAATCATGGCTTTCAGTGCACAGAGTTCCCCATAAACTATGCAGGTTGGCCCACACCAGCAAAAATCAGGTTGTAGCTCTTTGTCTACCTTACTGTGGTTTTGTGAAAAAGATGTTTTGCTTTAAAGGATGAAGTTTCAGATGTCTATACACTTTTACAAGAGTGTGTCTTGCTGTGATTTCACCCTTAGTTGCCTTTGTTGGTTTTGTAGTCTCGCACTGTGGCTCAATATGATGTATGATAACCACAGCATCTGTCCCACTATTAATATGTTTGAGTATTTTAAGAGATTTTTAACTTTACTGTGAAAAAAAATGAGTGAAAATAAGTTTTTTAGAGACTCGGCAAGCAGGCAAGCGAATGTACACTCATCTGCCACTTGATTAGGAACACCTGTTCAATTGCTTGTTAACACAATCAACTCATTAGCCAATCACATGGCAGCAACTCAAAGAAAGGGGATTTAAGTGACTTTGAATGTGGCATAGTTGTTGGTGCCAGACAGGCTGGACTGATTATTTTAGAAACGGCTGATCGACTGGTATTTTCCAGCACACCCATCTCTAGGGTTTACAGAGGATGGTCTGAAAAAGAGAAAATATCCAGTGTGCGGCAGTTTTGTGTCTTGTTGATGTTAGAGGTCAGAGGAGAATGGGCAGACTTGTTCAAGATGATGGAAAAGCACAACAAAGTATGCAAAGTGTGACAAACCTTGAAGCAGATGAGCTGCCGCAGAAGAGGAAGACCACATCAGTGCCATCCCTGTCAGCTAAGAACAGAAAACTAGACAATAGTAGATAATAGTAGAATAGTTATAGTAGAATTTTCTTACATCTGATGAGTCTCGATGGAGATAGTGGGTCAGATTTGGTGTAAACAACAGGAAACCGTGGATCCATTCTGCCTTGTATCAACAGTTCAGGCTGGGGTTGCTGGTGTAATGGTGTGAGGGATATTTTCTTGTCACACTTCGGGCCCTTAGTACCAATTGAGCATTGTTGAAACCCCACAGCCTTCCTGGGGATTGTTGCTGACAATGACCACCCCTTTCTGACTACAGTGTATCCATCTTCTGATAATGCGCTATGTCACAAAGCTCAAACTCTCTCAAACTGGTTTCTTAAACTTGACTAAGAGTTCACTTTACTTCAGCAGCCTTCACAGTCACCTGATCTTAGTCCAATTGAGCCCCTTTGGGATGTGGTGAAACGGGAGATTCACATCATGGATGTGCAGCTGACAAATCTTTTGTGTGATGCTTTTGTGTTAATATGGACGAAAATCTCAGATGAATGTTTCCAACACCTTGTTGAACGTAAACAACGAAGAATTTAGGCAGTTCTGATAGCAAAAGTAGGTCCAACCTGATGCAAGCAAGGTGTACCTAATAAAGTGGCTGTTGAGTGTACTTTATCATTATTTGAGTCTATGCTGATTTTTTTATGTTGACAATAAGAACAGCTGTCTGAAAGGTTTCTATAAATCTATTTGCTTCTTTTCTGTTGTTTTTGGTATTTTCTGACGCTGACATTTTTCATAAGCGTTTCCTTACTTGACAATATTAGTAATTAAAGGGTCAGTTTTATTGTACTGGGGTAAGCCTTTCTTGAAACATTCTGAACTCACTCAGAAATGTAATTTATGTAGTTTTGAGAGCAAAAAGTAAACTTGAGTCTTCAGGACATGACACCCGAACATCCTCCCAGCCCTCATTAG